CGTCCTCGGCGTGAAGGGTCGTTCTGGAGTCTTCTTCGAGTGACTGAATGGACACTTATCGCCATTTCGACCCCCTGCATCTGTGAAATGGAACTTGCAGCGGATTTGCTTCTTGCTTTTGTCACCTCTGTTGTCCGCTGACTCACTCCTCGTCTTCTTCTTGGGCTTCGGCTTGGTCTTCGCATGACTCTTCGCTTTGCTTTGAGGTAGTACCGGTGTTGCTTTGTCCGGCTTGGTCGGCGAAGCCTTGACCTTTGCGGATGGAGCTGCGTTAGGCGTAGGTTTCTCAGGTACCTTGGCCGGTGCAGCAAGCAAATCCTTGCCCTCAAGCATCTGGCGCAAGCCAATTTGAGTCTGAGTGAGATTTGACTGTTCTCGTTTCCGCATGATGGTACGATCAATGATCTTCATCAGGTTGTCGTACGATCGATCTTCATGATTGTAGGGCAGGTGCTCATAGTGCATGCCCAAGTCCATCTTCATTGCGGGCGAGTCCTTGATCTTGCTGTACAAGCAATCACGGAGAGCTGTTTTGGATGGAATGTCCTCTGGTCTCATCCGTCCCAGAACTTCCAACCACGTCTGCTTGAACGTATGAAGCTTGTTGTCGCCTTGATACTGGAGCTTCACCAAATACTCAAGAGTGATGATCATGTCAAGACGATCATGCGTTCGAAAACTTTCGTACATCATCGCGATGACTTGTCGTCCCTTGATGATCTTCACGTCAGGCCTGCTGATGTAATCGTTGGCCTTCCGGTTCACCTCGAGGTACAGGTCAGCTGATTTGTCACCACCGGCACGTAGCATTGCGACCATGGCAATCCCCAATTTCACGTCGATGCTCTTGAACTTCTTGTGTCCTGAATCATTCAATGCCTCGACATCAGGGAATGGGTTGAACGCTGGTGCCAGCCATACCATCCAGTCCTCATGATGCGGGTCGGCTGATGCCCCTAAGACATTTGCCGTGCACACGGATCGCCAGTTGTTGAGATGAGTGAGAGTAGGCCATGGAGGAACGGTCACTTTGTCGGCTTCCCTCCTGGAAATTCTCACCTCTGTAACTTCAGGATCCGCATCTCCATCAGGATCACGCGCATGCGAACCAGGATCCGATTCGGGTTTGCCCCCTCCACCTTTCTTCTTGTCATCATCATCGTCAGGCGGATCTGGAGGATCATATCCCGTGCCGGTACCTTCATCATGCTCTTCCTCTCCATTCTCGTCGCCAGCTTCGTCACCGTCATCGTCTCCATTGTTTTCTTGAATCGTTTCAGCGAATAATCTCCACTCATCACGATCAGCTCTGAGACGTTGTTCGGCTTTCTGAGCCTTGAGTACTTCACTACGCAGATCAGCAATCTTCTCCTCGTACTGTTCCGCGATCTCTTTCTCGATCTGACGCCTCCTTGCCTCATGGATGGAATCGTCAAAGGCGACAGGGGGACCAATGAGGTCGTTGCCCTTCGTAGATGCGGTGACACCGTCGATGCCAACAGGTCTTGAGGAGCTGGCCGATGCTGTGGACTTCGATCCCAACATCCCGCGATCCCCCAAGAGTTCGCGTAGCTGTCGATCACGCACGGCTGCCGCATCACTTTTCCCATGAAATCCGCTTGGTATGCCAAACAAAGTGGCTGCACTAGGCGTGGAACGCGCAAGCGCTGGCTGCTAATACCTGGCACGTGGTGCTCGGGCATTGCATCCGCCACGATTGGCATTGAACTGCGGCCAGTGAAGAAGTTTCCACCGGTGAATGGAATTCCGTCCATCACAAGGTTCTTGTCCTTGTCCGATTCCGAGAATGCGAACTTCTCTTTGGCGACTGGACTAACTTGACTTGGGGACCGTATTTCAGGGGATCGTACCTCATCTCCTACGGAAAATGCAGGCATTACATCCTTTCCTACGTGCTCCCAGCCAGACTCAGTAGTCCTCGAAGACATGGGCATGCTCGAAGGTCGCGTCGCTTCCCTTTGATTAGAGTTTCGCGCTGCCTCCAATTCGCTGCGTGTCCTCGCTTGAAGATCTTCTTGTGCTTTGAGCGTTTTCCTGAGTTCACTCAGCTCGTCGTGCAAGGTAGGCAATGATCGCCTTGCATGATCTTCATTCTGATGAAGTCGTTCCTCTGCTTCTTGCATCCTCTTCACAGCCATTCTGCGGTACTCTTCCTCTTCACCAAGACGTTCGCGAAGCCGAAATCGTTCTTGTTCAATGGCTGCGCTGTTTCCAGCTAGCCCTTGGATCTCGTTCACAGCCCGCAACTCCTGGTTCTTGACCAAGTGGAATCGTTCCTGCATTGCTTGTAAGGCTTGTTCCGAACTTGCTGTGTTTGACCGGAGGACCAAGTTCTCTCTGGCATGTTCGTGAAGTTCATGAGTCAGACGCTCATACTCACGTGCCATAAGCTCACCATCACCTTGCGCTCTTGCCTCCAACTGCACGAAGTTGGTGGCTGCCTCCGTGCGGAACACGTGTAGCTGTTGAGCTAAATCCTCTGCAACGGCATGTGCTTGACGTTGTTGAGCAGAGTTCTGCTCATCCATGCGAAACAAAGCTGCTTCATAGTCTCGCTTCATCTCCTGATTGACATTGTTGATGTGCCTCATGGCTAAACATGCATGATCACGTTGTCGTTCCAATTCTTCAATGCGAATTCCAGATCCTTCATCTTCTTGCTGCATCTCCTTGATCTTGTCCATCAGGGTCTGGACGATTCCTTCGTATTCTTGCACCTGACTGCGATAGTACATCTGCTGTGCAAGGTTCGATGCTTCGAACTGTTGCGAAATCGTCAGCTCCTGGTAGGCATTCGGACCATCAGCTATTGCAGGCGTGGCCACGGATGATGCATCACCACGTGCAGGAATCGTATCCAGTGTCATGTCCAGATCGTCAGAGTCGCGTGGTTGATTAGTAACCATCCGATTCCAAGTCATGGACTTGTCACGCCCACGGGTAGCCGAAGTCCTCGATCGTGCTGAAGAGCTTCTTGAAGATGATGGTCTTGACTTCTTCTCCAAGGTCTTGACTCCTTTGTCCTTAGCCCTGGACGTAGTCCGAGGTGCCTGAAAACCAGACGCTTCGGCCCGTCGTTCTGGAGCCTTTCCCGTCCTCGAACCTGTGGATGTCGGACGTGAAGGCGTAGATGCTCTTGGTAGACTCTTTGCTTTCCCCTTGGGAACTGCCTTTGCAATGGCAAGCGCAGAAGATTGACCTTTGTCATCTTCCGTGGAGCTATCAACGGATTGCACCACTGTGTCATCAGCTGTTGACTCACCAACGGCTGGCGCTGCCACATCGGCACCGAAAGTCATTGTCGTATCTTGACTTGATCCTGAGTTCATTGTGGTCGTAGTAGATCAAGTAGTCGTTGCTGTAGAAAGGCAGAGCCGCGTACGGCTGATAACCTGCGTGGGGGATTGATCTCGACTTGGTTGCTGCTCTCCCCACCAGAGCTGTAATGAATGTAGGTGTGGCTGGCTAGCACTCTCCACAGACTGGACCCTGTCTCTCCCTCTTACTTCCACACGTGCGATCCTATGCAGGCAGAACCGGCGGCCGTTCCTTTTGCACTCACTGCCGGCGGCGGTTCGTCTGTGCAACGGGATAGCTCTGATTGCTCAGGATAGAAGACACATATAGCACTTAGCTATGGGCATTGACTTGAGCCAAACGTTGCGTTGGCGGTCACATAGAAAGGTAAAGACGAGGGATGCGTAGCATGCCCCCTAGAGTCGAGGGACGCGTAGCGTGCCCCCTTCTCTTGCACTTTACACGGTCTTGCTCACAGCTCTTATAGTGACACCTTAGAACTTGACAAGGCATCGCAGTCCGTTCGCAACTGGAGTCGGCTTGGACTTTGTCAGCACTGACCGTTCAGCATCAAACTGCGGCTCTCAGCGACCGGTCAGGAGCAACAATGGGCCGTCACCCAGAGCCGCCCATAACAACAGGTGGAGCCCAAAAGCGAGGCTCCGGCCGCCGTTCTAGTCTCGCCAGACAACGGTCGACCCCCGTGTGTTGTTTCTTCGTGGTCGTGCACACCAAAGTCCAAAGCCAAGGCCAAACTGCAGTATGCAGACAGCCAGATACGAGTGACAAATGCTGGGGAGATAGCCACCACATGAGCCGGCACGTTAACCCGGCGGAAACACAGATGGGCGGAACGCCGGGTCGGGACTCACCAAGGGTTGCGGCGGAGGCTGCAAGTTGGATCAATCACATTACAAAAGCCCGCATATGACAGACAAGGGTTCCCCCAGGTAGCCTGAACGACAAGTCGAAAATTAACAGCTACATTTGGCTTTGTAGAAGCCAGCAAAGCGGCTGGCAAGAGAAACATATCAAAGAAAACATATCAATCACGAATCAAATATCTTTCCAATATAAATCAATCAAGGCTTCGGCAATGAGGACTCAGCATTTTCCGGATGTCCAGTTCGCACGAGCCGAGACCGGATCCCCATTCGGGGACCGGCCTCCGCCCATAGCTCAAACCAATATCCCACCGGCGCAAGGTAAGTTTCTAGGGTGGGACGGGTGGGACTATAACTTCTAAGCTCCCTCCTCTGGAGCCTCTATTTCACGTAGATAATCGAATCAGTCATCAGAGCACTAAAAGCAGTGCAAATCGACATGTGAAAGACCTACGACAAAATCACATGGAAAGGAGTGTGCGGAAATCGGAAAGGAAATCGTGCTGATAAAATCAATTAAAACTTTCTTTGGGGCCCGCCCTCCTCCCCTTTGCATCCTACAAACCCCTTTGAGCAAGCCCAAGAAGCTCTGTAGGAGCCAGCAAAGCGACTGGCAAGAGAAACATATCAAAGAAAGCATATCAATCACGAATCAAATATCTTTCCAATATAAATCAATCAAGGCTTCGGCAATGAGGACTCAGCATTTTCCGGATTTCCAGTTCGCGCCGTAAAAGCGAGCTGAGACCGGATCCCCATTCGAGGGACCGGCCTCCACCCACCATCGCGAGGATCGCTTTACCACTTCGTCTTAGTGGCCAGCTTCTGCTTCTTTGTCAAAGGAATCGGAGGGGCACTTCCTTCTCCCCCTTTTCGCCACTCGAGCATTTCAGAATGAAAACTTGCCAAATCAAGAAGGAGCTTGCACGGCACATCAGGAAACTTTGCATCAATCCAAAGAGCTAAGTCGAAAGCACTGAACCGCTCATTCGTCAAGTCGTCCGCTTCAGTGTTGAGCTCACGCGGACGCCAGTTCAAGTTCATATGTCCCCCGCAGCGGAACAAAGCGTACTCCAGCTGCATATATACATACGTCAATGGGAATTTCGTGGTTCCCCGACGGCGCATGACCAGCTCATTCGCCAGATTGTCCGTCCCAGCAGAAACCGTGAAACTCTGCCCAGTCACATCCAGCCATCCGAACAAGTGCAGCCCCAGCCACGTAGCGAGAAGCTCGGCAACAGTGCTCATTGCTAACTTTCCTTTCTTGTTCCTAGACTTGGTGCCCATATATGCACTACCACTGGTACTGATCCTGCCAACAGTGGCACGGGTTCAACACGATTGGGGCGACTATGTTGGGGATCTTAACTGGGAACCCGGTCGCGGCAAATCCGGAGCATTGGCTGCAAGGATGGCAACAAACGGTGAGCATCCATAAAAAAAGCGAGAAAAAACCACTATATAACTGAAAAAGAAGAAAAAAAAGGGCTGGGCGGTAACGACTGGAAGTCGATAAATGCGATACTGAAAATCAGCTGCTACTCTCTCCTGAATTTTAAAGAGTTATCGGCGACCTGTTGGTTGGCGGCAAGTCCGACACACATAGTTCATAGTCATAGACGTGCAAACAAACGCTTCGAGAATTTAGATTGAGGTTTTCGTTACACTCTAGCTTGTTCGCTCTCTGACTGCCTGGAGCCTGGAGCTGAAACTTGCGCACATTGCGCAAGGTTTGAAGTTCAAAGGCTTCGAAATGGAAGGGATTGAAAAAGTGGAGGCGAGAGCAGTTATATCAGATATCAGGCATCGCGGCATGTAGTATTATAGAAGGTGAAAGGAATAGGAGAGAGAGCGAGAGAGAGAGCCGAAGCCGAAGAGAGAGAGAGAGAGAGAGAGAGAGAGAGAGAGAGAGAAAGGAAAAATTAGGAAAAATAAAAATGTCGTCGTCTACTCAACTTCAGAATCTGGCTCACAATAGGCTTCACAACTTCAGGCATGGCTCACTGCTCACACTGATCACTGAACATTGTTTCGCCTCGAAGCCGTAGCGACAGGAGTAAGCGCTTCAAGCAGTGACACGAAAGCCGCATGCGGTATCATCCGTGCGATGCACTGCACACATCACTAAAGAAAAGCGTTGGATCGGATGCAATGGTGCATTCAAGACGAAAAGAATGCACATAAGGCTGCATCGGTCACCAAGGTCCCCGTCCCCGTGCTGTCCCATGAAATGGACAACCAACCATATTGCAAACTCATCCCTTGGCCCTCGCCTAACCCGAAACCCTGCTCAGCTCGGTGACGTCGGACCTCAGCTCAGCTCGACTGAGCTGGAGTCGGCTTCACCTCATCATCATCACCCGCTTTAAGCCCTTTAGGCTCAACAACTGCACCCGGGAGCGCAGCCTTATCAGCATCAGGAGAAGCAGCAGGATTATTCTGGGCTTCGGCAGGGGCCTCATTGGAAAACAGCGCCGCAATCTGTTCCATCAAGGCTGTGTCTCTCTTGTCGTTCTTCAACAACTTCACCGCTGTCTTGTAGCTCGCAGCCGCTGACTCAGTGTCCACCAGGAAGGATTTCCGGATGCCGTAGTTGAGCAAACTTATGCCCACGCGCTCGGCGACGAACCACCCCTGTGGAATGTAGACCACGTCGTCCTGTTCCACCGTCACAGCGTGGCCGATCTTCTCGCCGGTGTCCTCCTGCAGCACCTCCGTGGCATCCATGATGAAGTCAACCATCGATGACAAACTGATGTCATCCTTTGAGCCAACCTTTGCCGCGTTCTATAAACTTAGTTGTGCATGCTAGCGGTTAAGCCGGATGCTGCAAGGGAGAGTGCTGAAGCACCAGAAGAAAGGTTTTTGGAATGCCGAGCGTCCCACATCTTTGTCACAGCATTCGGGACTAATTCTTCAAAGTTGCTGGGTGGACGATTTCACCCCCCAGCACCTGCAGATGTCAAAAGGAACACCAAACACCAAGCAAAACACAACCATACGGAACCAACACTAGAAGGACAGAACGAATACCGGCCACTGCACCGGGCTGTACGCAGCTCGTTCGAAGGCTCACCGGGGGGATACAAGATAAACGGCACTATGATACAAAGAGTAAAATGACAACACCACCAACCACCGGGCTGCACGCAGCTCATTCGAAGACCCCCTCCGGGGAATACAAGGTAAACGGCACTACGAGGACAGCGTTACGCCGAGTGGGCCAGCGCGGATAGAAACACAAGCGAGTGAGACAACGCCCCATGCCAGTTGGAATCACAGCTAGATTGCAAAGTTTGCAGCTATAAGAAGCACAACGAATGGTTGATATCATACAAGCCGGCAAGCCTGCACAAGGAAAAACTAGTCATGCACAAAATGTGTGCGTGCGAGTCAAACCCACAGCCCACCAGCCACCCCCTGGACACCACCTGTTGGTACTGTGGCAGGAGCAAAAGCTTCCAAAAGCAAAAGCGGAAAATCAGGATATGTAAAATCCGGAATCCAATATCTTCGTATAGAAATGAATCATCGGAGCTCGAAACGCTTGACATGTGGAATGCAGGACTGTTGACATGCAGAAGCGGACATCTCTCATTTTTCCCGAAGGATGGATCGGAGTTCCCATTCGGCGGAGAGCACATCATGACCGTAGCGCTTTAAGCGAAAGACGGTCTTCCCAAGAATCAAGATGTGCCCAGCACCAGGGTTGGGAGGGTGGGAGCTTCAGAACTCACCACTTGACCCTTGTGGCTACAAACGTCACGACATGATTCTCATGTTGCACAGCTCACATAGTCAAAGACTTCCAAGTAAAATAAATCAGTTCAAAAACTTTTTGGGATAAAGAAACCTTGTTTTCTTTTCCCAGACACGACGGTACACAAAGTGTACCGAAAGCACGTGGGTTTGAAGGGCACACACACTGACGCAACAAGTCGCGAACGCGTGCGTGCGAGTCAAACCCACAGCCCACCAGCCACCCCCTGGACACCACCTGTTGGTACTGTGGCAGGAGCAAAAGCTTCCAAAAGCAAAAGCGGAAAATCAGGATATGTAAAATCCGGAATCCAATATCTTCGTATAGAAATGAATCATCGGAGCTCGAAACGCTTGACATGTGGAATGCAGGACTGTTGACATGCAGAAGCGGACATCTCTCATTTTTCCCGAAGGATGGATCGGAGTTCCCATTCGGCGGAGAGCACATCATGACCGTAGCGCTTTAAGCGAAAGACGGTCTTCCCAAGAATCAAGATGTGCCCAGCACCCGAGCATCGCCGTAGCCGAATGGTACCGAAGAGTCACCACCTCGTGCGAGGCTTCTTCCGACTGGTGGCCTTCGCCACCGGCTGCCTCTTGTTGTGCGCCGCAGCCTTCGCTGCAACAAGCTCACCATGAAAACCATTTGCCGACTTCAAGAGGTCTCCCAGAACGATCCAATCAATCTGGTTGCCCAAAATCTCAAGCCTCTTTGAGGGATCAAAACGATCGAAACGAAGATTGGTGAGATCGTCCGCCCACACGTTAGATTCCCTAGGAACCCATGACAAGTCAAGAGAGAGGTTCATCCCCCGTAGCGTCTCCGAGAGCTCCATCAGCAGCAAGGGCAGAGGATACCGCGTTGACATCAGCTTGGATACTGCATAAGAGTTCCCTTGATTGTCTGTGCCACCGGTGATGTGGCCGCACCCGCCACCGCTGCCCTTCATCTTGGCGCCCCAAAGTTTGACGCAGATGAGAGTGCCCAAGAGTTCCAGACTCGCAATGGTGCGCTTCAGGTCCCCCTTCACGTAGGCCCACGGTGCCCAGGATTCAAGGACCTCCAGAGCGAACCACTGCAGTGCCGATTCCCCGTCCCACAAGTAGCCGCCGATCCATGCGCGGTCCTCCTCGGCCTTGGCATCCGAGTAGAAGCTGAACTTGTTCATCCCCTTTTGTAGCCGCTCCGGAGGCGGTTCCTGGAGCCGGTCCTCTCCCCGGAACCTCCCCGACATCCAATGGAGAATTGTCCTTAGCATGACCGGGATCTTGAGAAGCCCTCTGCTCCCCCGCGTGGCAGCCGACCAGGAGTAAAGAGGACCGAGGAACGGTCTCTCCCAGGAGAGGGCGTTCGCTCCAAATCCCAGTCTGCCCAGGCCGCATGCAAAATCATCCCAAGTCACGCTGCCCTCTCGAGAGATGCGTAAAGTCCAGTCAGCGAGCCAGGTCGCCCGTTGCAACGAGATTCCCAGCCGGAAAGAGCTGTAGGATGTCTCATAGCCCACCCATTGGACCGTCAGTCCTCCTTTTGTCTTCGACCACTTGAAAGGGAAGCCCAATGCAGCCAGGAGGGCGTATGAGAGGACAATGCCCCTTCTTCCCGCCTTGTCGCCCCCGATCATCTCCACGTCGTCGGCGTACAAAAGGATCTCCAGGGCTCGCCTTCCAGTCAAGTGATGGATGAGCCTGATCGAACCCCCAGAGAGTCTCGCCCACCAATAGCCCGCGCAAGCGAGGCCGAATGTGCCCACGCAGTTCAAGTAGACGATGGAGTCCCTGGAGGAAGCTTTGCAGCCCAAGTACCCCCACTCGTCCCGACGGTGCCGGTATCTTCTGTGTGCCTTCGCAATGTCGCCGGTGACCGCCATCGGAGCCATCCGCTTCTCCTTGAGGCGGCGCAGCAGGCATCTTTTCTCCCGGGCTCCGGGAGATCTCACTTTGTCAAGACAGCGGATCCTGTGGTTCAGCAACACGTCATGCGATGCATCATGTACTATACGCTGTTTTAGCGGCGGGCCCTCTTCAGTGAGCACCGCGATGGCAGAGATCGCCGCCTCCTCTCCATATGTAGCCCAAAACTCGGCCTCCCCCATCCGGATCATCAAGCCTTCCCGCACTTCTGCTTCGAAGTGCTCCCTGACAAAGTCCAGGTTCTTCTCGGCCGACTCATAGTTGGCCTTCCATGAATGGGCCACGTCTAAGGGGCCCACCTCCAGCTTCCATTTGGTCTGCGGCTCGAAGACCTCCGGCGTGCGCGGCAAGGGGCGCTTGATCCCCACGGTGAAGCCATCAATCGCCTCCAAGAAGACCTTCCAGTCCGGGTCTGAGGCATCTCGAAGAAGGCCCGCCAGCAACCTCAACCGGAATGGTTGTCCTGGGTCGATGGTCCCCAAGTCCTTGACATCGAAGCCCTTTGCCCCGAGGTGGGCCACCATGATCGCCACGAGCTTCTCATGCAGCGTTGGGTCGGAGACCAGCTTGCACCC